GCTGTCTCCTTCAGCTGTTAATCTAGTCACTCTGCGCTCAGCAGTCAGGCATAGGCACCAGAGGGCAGGCAGAGTCCCTCCTGGGGGCTGGGTTATTGTGTCCTCTCATGCTGATGCCACTCAGGAGAGTGGTATGCCTGAACAAGATGGCTGCTGCTGTATGGGGGATGAGTCAGCACCAGGACCCTACTGGCTATTCTCTCAGTTCACTCCCCTCAGCCTCATTCCCCAGTCTCTCCGCAAGTGTCTCTAGCCCACTCTGCCCCTGCCTTTGCCAGAGAGGAGAGTAAGTGGCAGTTAGGTTGTGTTAAAGCTGATTCTTCTGTCTGTCCCAGGTAAGAAGGCTCCTCTCTCACTATTTTTCAGTTGTTTGTTCCTGGTGATTTCTCCACAATTTAGTTGTAATTCCAGATTAGTCCTGGGAGTAGGTCAGTGTGACTTCCATTCACTCCTCCGCCATCTTGATTTCTCCCTAAATAAAGGATTTTTTAAAAAGAATTTTGTCAAATATTACTAGAGTTTTCAACATTCTGACTGTATACCTTTGGTTTAAGTTTTCATGGAATCTCACAATAATTTGAGGAGAAGTAAGTGGAAAATAAAGGTGTGTGTATAAGCGCCCTTTACTTATTCCCTACCACCAAAGAGACATACCTTCTAAAATTAAGCTATTACATTATTGATACATTGTCTGAAACTGAGTATGGCTTACGATCTCTGTATTACTATGTAGATAGTCACATCTCACAGGCCTGCATTCTTGTTCATGTTACCATTCCTCGACAATGTTAATGATTTACAACTTAACATGGCTTAATGAGAAGTACCCTAAATGAGAAGTGACAGGGTCTAGTATCATTTGTAACCTGTGTAACTATAGTTCTACTGATAATGATAACCTGGTCAAGTCCTTTTATCACTTTGAGCTGCATTTTTCTAATTAGTAAAATTATTGTGGGAACGGAGGGGAAAATAGATGAACCCACAGGTTAGATGATGACTCATATGAGAAGTATCATTGTCCTTTTCCCCACCCAATGCTCACTTTCCAGCCCATTGCTTCATGGATCAAGCATGCAGTCTGTCACTCTCAACCTTCTTTGATTTTAATTCACACAGAAAGGGAACATTTTGCTCTTTTAAAACAGAGGTCACAGTCTAGTTAGCAAAAAGTGGCTGGCAAAAGTCTTGCTTTGAGCCCCACAGGGCTTCAACAAAATTCTTAGTCAACAATGAAAACTGAGGAAACATCACATAGCAATCTAGGTTTTCAGTTGCTATTGAAAATCTAAAGAGTCTCTCACTCTCGGCACTACAGAGCTGAGTAGTTTCTCCCTCCTGGAAGTTCCCCACAGTCTCCATCAACCCTAAAGGTGACCCTGACATTGACACTGAATGTTAGGTGCCGTATCATATCTATTTCTCTATTACTTTTATATAATAGAGAATTTTTTTTCTTTATCTAGCCTCCACTGAAAGTAGGGGAATGCAAAACAGCCCTAGAAGGCTGCTTGTTGGAAAGAAACAGAGACGACTACATTTCTTGTGAAGGGTTTACTATGCAACACATAGACACCTTGAATGATTTACCTTCCCATGCTTTAGAAGGTCATAACTGCCCTTATAGAAATAATACACTAAAAAGATGCCACGACTACTTAAAACTTTGTTATTTACTAGCTGGGCTAACATGCACAACTCATTTAACTTTTTGGACTTCAGAGTCTTCAAACTTCATAAAATGGAAATGCTGGACTGAGTAAGCTCTAAGGTACCTCTTACCTTAAAATGCTATGATTTTGAAGTTTTACTGCTTATAAGGAAGCCACCATCACATTACTCTCACAAATATACACCCTGTTAAAAGCAGCTGCCACATTTTCCTTCATCCTCAGGCAAATATCAGTGACTACATCTGTCATTTTTCATGTTAATAGTGGACATCAGAGCTTCAGAATAAGAACTCTGCTCAGATTCAACGTGTGCCTTTAAAATGCATTTATGTTGTGCATTTGTAACTTCAAGCTGATGAAGTTATGACCCTGGCGAATCCTTACCAATTGTGAGCTGTTCTTCAAATTTTTTGCCGCCAGTAATAGCTGAAGTACTAAAGCAGATGCAAGGGTAGCACCAGAAGAAAGTTGATCTCATTCTCAGAAACTCTGATAAGATGTTTGAATGAAAATTAATGATGTTATAGGTTCCCATTCAGAATTCCATAGGACTAAGAGCCATTGCTGGGAACTGTAAAAATACCAATGCCTGGCTTCCACACTTAGAGATCCTGACTTAATTAGTCTGGAAAGAAGGGATTTTAAAACATGTCAAATGATGCTAATTTGAAAACACCAGTCTCTTAAAATTTGTTTTGTAGACTATGAACAGGTTGCCAGACAAAAGGTTGAAATGGTACCACAGTGAAGTCAACTTCATAGTTTTCTTAGCGTTTCTAGTTTTTCATTTGGAATCTAACATGCTTGGTTGTATTATATAAAATTTTTCACCATTGGACAATGGAAAAGTTTGGGGGGAATAATATAATACTATTTTGTAAAAAAATAGATTATTTTCCGATGTGATCTAAAAAGTTTCATGTTAGAGGAGTTTCATCCCAGGTTTATTCTTTACCATAATTTTTATGTTGATACATGATGTGCATAGTAATACAGTTTTGGGCTAGATAATGATGTTAATCTTAAATAATTCAAAAAGTAGAAAATTAAACTACATAATAGTTTTTGATTTTGTAAAAAGCAAATATTCACCACTCCTCAAAGAAAAAGTGCTGTGACTTTTACAACCCTTACATATGAACTGCATCCCAGAGCTCCTTCTCGGCTGTTCCATATGTTCACAGATTGTATCGACATGTGGTAGAGATGAGTGTTATAAAAAAGGGAAGTGACTCCAGAATTCAGTGCTGCACTTTTACATTGCAGATAAGCAAAAAAAGGTGCTTAATCACAATTGATTTGTCCCTAGTAGTAGATGGCAGAACCAGAAGTGGAATTCATGCACAGTATTATATCCTGCAATTCCTTCTCCTGTACCATCAGATTCCCACAAGCTCTCCTACTTTTTCTGTGAAACATCCATTATGCCATTTTTACTTGTTCTAGAACTTCAGCATAATATGATACATACTGACAAGTCTTAAATAATGATTCTTGAATGCTATGGTTTCTTGAATGTAAAAAATATTATATGTACGTAAATATACATATATATACATCCTAGTTTAGAATGTAGTAAGTCAGTGCAGGTGTGCTTGGATTTCTCTGTAATTAGCTTCCAAAGTAGTGCTTCCAGACCATGTGCCAGTGCATGCCAGAAGTAAATATGTTGATCGCATCTTTGGTTGATTATTATGGTCTTCTACTGCTGTTATACTAATACTTTTCCCATCTCCAACTGGCTTTACTTTTGCAGCTTTGAGCAGTATTTCAGTCCCCTACGCCTCCCTGATTGGCTCTGTGTCCTCCCTCTCTAGCCAAACCACCACTCAGTCCATATATGATAATAACTCTCTCCCACGATTCGCTCGAAAAGGTCTAAACATCTTTGTCTCTATTATTTTCTCTGTTAAAGCACTGTAATGGATGTCCACATTATTTCATTCCCATTTCCAGATAAGCCTAGAGTCTCTTGTGCCTTTGCATTTCCATTCTTGTCATTGGGGGTGCCTCATCTGGATAAGATCACTTTAATTATCAGACCGCTATCACCCACCCACTCCCTGCGCAAATATAAATGAGTTCAATTCTATCATCTATATGGAAACGCTCCAGAAATGGGCTCCAACATTTTGGCCCGAATGCATAATTAAATCAGCAACAAACAGTTTCTACTTCCAAACCTATTCATTTTGATTGGGTCTCCTATTAAGATTTTAGCTAACTGGAAGCAGACCTTCATAGCCATGAATGCTAAAACATCAAAATTCGCAGCACTATGCTAAAATAATGATCTAGACAGAAGAATCAAAATAGTGTTTTGTTTCCCTTACCAGAGCCATTGATAATTTGGCATTTGAGATAAAGGAACTTACTGGGTGACGTTCAATAATGGCATGATTTCTAAAATGCCCATAAAGTTAATCACACGTCGTGTTGACTTAATGGTCACCATCCCACACACCAAGTCCATCCAGAGAGTCCCAGGGTCAGCCGAATGTCAACCAGTGGCTTCCAGTTTGAGCCCCTCTCTCATTCCTTGTCTGCTGCAGAGGCTTCCCTGGGGGCATGCTAGTTCAAGTTTTTCTAGCCAGTTGGAATTTGTATCTGTAAGACATGAGTCAGCAATACGTTCTCATGTTACTCTTACAAAAATTAATCTGAAAGAAATAAAATGCAAATCATATGAAAAGAAAACATTGGAAAGACATGGGGATCATCCTAATTAGCACTGGATTATTTTGAGCAGAATCCATGAAACTGCTGTATCTTCAGCTGGCAGACTGAACTGAGGTGTGCCTGCCACTTTCCCTGTCACTGCTTTCTTTCTTTTTCCACCCTTTTCCCCTCCTGTTCTTTCACCATTTCCTGGCTCATTCTCCATCAGTGGACAAAGATGTTTACACCTGAAGTAGATTGTAGGTTTACTGGGGGTTGAATAATAGGACCTGGGTAAAATACCACAAAGCCTTTTTAGCGTGGCCATTTATAAACCCCCAACAGAAGCTGCAACCCCAGCCTCTGCAATCTGCTACTAGTGGAAACATTTTTGAAACTTCGTCTGGTGTCTGATTTTGTCATCAGTGATTATCATCCATAAGCTGTGGTGCATGCCATTCTTTGCGTCCATGTTTGCATGTGAATGTCAGTCACCTACAGATATGTGAACTATTAAACCGATCTTAATTGAGTCACAATGTATAGTGAATCCTGTAAAAATGTGCTGCATTTTTATTAATCCTTTTAAAAAGTATATGAGACTATACATTTCATTTTTTTAACAAATTCGTTCTATTTTGTTTTATTTACACCATCATTTCTTTGCAGGTTCAGATGATTCCGGTTACCCTGGTAACCTTCATTCTTCAAGTTAGTTTTCCTTGATTATGCATAAGTCACTTTACGTTTCCTGTCAAGCTACTACTCTTTCCCTTTTAGGCCTCTCTCAATGTCTGTTTTCTTAGTTCACTTTACACCATTTAATTCCACACAATTTCCATTTCACACAGTGCAGGAGAAGGAGTTTGAAATGACGTAACAGTCATTACTCAAAGCAGAAGTTGACATCAAGCCTGACTCTCAGTTTTCTCCACTAGCTAACCGCATTGATTCATAGCACAATAACGCTTTCTTTTACACCAGCAGTGTTAGTTTGGGGACTATGCTTGGTGACTTTTCATTGGGCTACAAAATTCATTCTTCCAGAGCATGTCCTGCTTTGAGTAACCAAACTATCTGCCTGCTTCCTCACATAAAACATCTTTACTACTCACATATTTTCAGGCCATTTCTAACTATAGTATCTTCTATATTTTGGAAGAGTTAGCATCATTTTTATTTGTTTTCAAATGTATTTCTTGTTTCCTCTTAATAGGTATGGCTAGTCATCCTCCAATACCTATCTTGGAACTTGCAGATCATATTGAAAGGTTGAAAGCCAACGACAACTTGAAGTTTTCCCAGGAATATGAGGTAAGCCATTGTGTTGATACTTGACAGTACATTTGAGAGTTGTCCCCTCTTCTTTTTGACCATATTCTTGAAAATTAACTTTAGCAGTGACTTTTCTTTTAAATGTGACTCAGAATCTCACATAAAAGTAGTTGTACTTTTAAAAGATTTCAAATATTTTATATTTATGCAGTGTTACTTGATGAGGTTGATTTATCTTCTCTGGTTTTAAGTTCATAGAATATACTGAATTAATAGGCTCCCAATATACCAAATGGGTACCAAATACACTGATCTGTGGTGAGAATCCTCACTGAGAAAGAGAGTTTATGTGGAATAAGTAGATTTCTGGGTACTCTTAGTTTTTGCAAAGCCTGAAAACCCTATAATGATTGAGTACCTCCACATGATTTTATCCTTCTGTCTAAAATAATACTAGGGCTAATTTTAAAGTAGTCATATGTTCTCAGAAAGCTACCTGCTTTGAAGCAATGGTAAACTGAAGGGTATCTTAAAATTTTAGAATCCTTAAAGGTGCTGTGTGAATTTTTGGTGAAAGGGAATGAAAAGTCTTCATACACATGTGTATTTGGATATCATGGCATTTATCGAGCCGAGTTGTAAAACTGGGTATTTCTGGTATTCCCCCAAGAAAAGGGACCCATATTTAAACCGATTCATGAATTATTGATAACTGAACCATTATTATTCTTTTAGGCCATGTTTAACTTAGCATAAGATTAAACTGTACAATTAAAATCTTGTGGTTGTGCCAAACAACAGAGACTGTTGAGTGCCTGAGCAGCCCAAATTCTACCATAGGGTTTCTACTGATTACTTAATGAGACTCTTAAAACACATGCTACCTCTTTTGGTTTCTGTTATCTCAGCCTTAAATGAGGCTGTTGGGCTAGGTGATCTGTCAGTCTCTGCCAGCTCTAACAGTCTGCCTCATCAGAATGGGTAAGAACCTCGAAGAGGAGCCCCAACCCCATGTGGCGAAAGGGTCGCTAACTATATGAAGAAGGTCCTTGTGAGAGAATGAGTAGTGGGGCCTGTGGCCACCTGGATATTTACGTGAACTTTCTGAAGTCTTCCACTCTTCCAGGTTTATTTTAATTTACTGTGCTGGCTCAGCAAAACATACCTGCAGCCTCTTGCGTCTCCACACTCCAGAGCCGATAGCCTTTTATTCAGTTAGAGTCTGCCAATGTTTTTGTCAAAGATTTTATAGAACACAGTGGGGATTTTATGTCGGGTTTTTTTTTTTTCTTGGTTTGGGTATTTTTGTTTTGTTTGTTTGTTTTTGCTCATTGGTTAAGTTATATTTTCTTTTATTCTGTTCCAAGCCTTCAGGAGAACGTTTTCAGTTTTATGAAACTCACATTGGATGGCGGAATGCCTTATTTTAGCAAATGGTCTGCTTCTTATTTTTCCCCTGTTCTTTCTCTTGACCATAATGGCTCTTTTTTACTTAACACAATATTCTTTAAAACAGTTTCTGTAGTTTCAGATATAGGGATTAAGGCTGCAAATTGAGTTTTAAGGAAAAACAAGAGACCTGAGGAATGCTGCCCAGGGCAACTTCAACACCTCTCAGATAAGTGTCAGTTTTCACCAACCAGAAATCTGTCACCTCTCCAACTGGCTCTTTATCAGGGTTCTCCTTGCTGTTTTTCTCTGTGATATTTTCTTCATGGTCTGACTTTACTACTTTATTTATGATTATGAATGAAATAATGGGTCACAAAAAATTAAAATATGGCATTAATTCACTGTTAATAAGCCATTAATTCACTTCTGACCATATAATTTTAAACTATTGATAATATTTGCATCACTCGAGCAGCCTCAGTTGTATGCCCTGACTACAATAACTAGCCTCCTTTAAATATGGGAAATCTCCAGAAATGCTCCATATAAAGACACTGTAATGATATTTACTTAGCCATTATGTCAGAAGTGCTCCTCCTTGAAAGTGATTATGAGAACTGCATGCTGGCAATGCTCCTGTTAAACACTCCCCCAGTAAGCGTTGCCATCGTAGCCCACATGGACTCTTCTCCATTTACCATGACCACGATCTGTGATTAAAGTTCCCTGAGCAAGAATTCACCCGACTGAGCCTTAACAGCCATGAAGGAGATACTTAAGTGTTGTAGTCATCTGTGAAAACAGGTTAAAGGGCTCTACATAACATTTTAGGCCACAGAGCAACACTTGGAAAAAATTTGCATGTCATTATCCAAATAAGTATTCATACCTTTCTTTACTGATTTCCAATGAAGAAAGGACAAGTCACATTACTTTGAAATATCTGATTATTTTGTCATAATCACTATGGATTTATGTTTGCTCAGACCTCTCAAAATGCAGGAAGCTAAATTTGTTATCCTAAGACTAAAACAGAGGTTAAAGGCATGAAAGCTGTTAGCACTGATCCATAGGTCAGAATAGGAGGAAGTAGGTTGAACTTGTAGCACAGCATTATTATTAGATCATGTGACAGACTTCCTTTACTGTCAAGAAAACTGGGCTCAGACTTTGGATTCAATGACAGCTGGACGAAGGAACCTAAGTAATTAGCATAACTGCTTCTTGAAGGTCTTTACAAGTACTTTAGGTTTTCATACTGTGATAGGAGACTGCACAGACCTACTAGAATTTAAGTATGACACCTAGAATGCAGGGAACAAAGTCCTCCTTAAAGTTGGTGTCACTCTCAAAGGCCAGTGCTTTAGGTGGTGAATTTTCAGACCGATTCAGAATAGTATGTATAGGTCTTGCCAAACAAAGTTTTTGCTAATGCCCATGGGACATCTGGAAGCCTAATTAAAATTCACATTTCTGTTCCCAATACCAGAAATGCTCTTTCAGTAGGTCATCTGTGGTAACCAGGAGCATCTATTTAATTTTCCCCAGATTTATTGCAACATAATTGACATGTAACATTGTATTATTTTAGGGTATGCAACAAAGTAATTGGTGTTACATATATACATACACATATATATATATATATATATATAAAACACAAACACATACACACATATATACACATACACGATTACTACTATAAGTTTAGTTAACATCTATCATCTCAAATATATATAGCTTTTTTCTGTGCAATGAGAATTTTTGTTACCTCTCAGCAATTTTCAAATATACGATATACTGTTGTTAACTATATTCATCACAGTATGTTACATCCCAGGATTTATTTATTTTGCAACTGGAATTTTATACCTTTTGACCACCTTTACCAATTTCCTACACCCCTCATCCCTTGCTTCTGACAACCACCAATCTGTTCTCTGTTTAAATGAGTTCATTTTTTTTAACATTGTACATATATGTGAGATCATATAGTATTTGTCTTTCTCTGTGTGGCTTATTTAATTTAACAGAGTGTCCTCAGTGTCCATTAATTTCTTTGTAAATGGCAAAATTTTCTACTTTTTATGAGTGAATAATTTCATTGTAAATATACCATACTTTCTTGATTCATTCATCCATTAATAAACATTAGGTTGCTTTCCTGGCTTTGCTTTTATAAACAATGCTGTGGGAAACATGAGGGTACAGATATCTTTTCGAGATAATGATGTTGTTTCGTTTGGTTATATACCCAGAAGTGGAATTACTAGATCATATGGTTGCTCTCTTTTTAATTTTTAGAGGAACCTCCATACTGCTTTCCATAGGGGCAGTGCCAATTTACATTCCCACCAACAGTGCCCACGGGTTCGCTTTTCTCAGCATCCTTGCCAATACTTACTTCTTGTCTTTCTGATGACAGTCATTCTGACAGGTGTGCTATCTCATTGTACTTTTGATTTGCATTTCCCTGATGATTAGTGATTTAAGCATCTTTTCGTGTCCTTGTTGGTCGTTTGTATGTCTTCTTTGGAAAAGTGTCTATTCAGTTCCTTTGCCCATTTTTAAATCAAATTATTTGGTGATTTACTATTGAGTTGTATGAGTTCTTTATATATTTTGGACAGTAACTCCTTATTAGATAAACAATTTGCAAGTAGTTTCTCCCTGGGAATATCCACCTGAAAAGAGCACTTTAGATGACTTCGATGTAGGTGCTCTGAAGACTTCAGCTTGAGAAACATCATTCATTTAGAATAATGTACTACAGAATACAGCCCTCCACTCTTCATTTTGCTATGTCCTGAGATGGCAGATAAACCAGCATATGAGATGCATTTGATAGACATCACAGTTAGCGTTGTCATTATTAATATTATTTACACAAATACCATTTAATATTATATACATAAGTACCATTTATATAAAATTGGTTGTAACTAACTACAGTCCAAAGTTTACATAAGGGAAAATAAAAGGGAGTTTTTTTTATCATAAATTAGTTGTAAATTTCTTTACAAATTAGTTACTTATTATAGAGACCAAGGCTAACAGTATAATATGCTTCAAGAACTGTTATCTGCAAGGAGAAGACTGCAGAGATTTTGGGCATCATCCCTGGAACCCTCAGCCTCGGGTTTCTCTGGGCTAGCTTCATTCTTCCTCCTGATGGTGATGTTTCCTTTGGCCGTCGTCTTGTTTCACTCAGGTGTGTAAAATAGGGCTTTAGATCATACTTTTATTTACATGGAGGCCCCCCTTCTAAAAAGAGACAAAGTTTTTCTTGCCAGTTAAATTCCAAATGCCAGAGAACAAGCTCAGAACTCCAACTCGCTCATTTTTTGTGGAGACACACATTGAGACGTGGCTGCCAGCAGCTCGCCCGTCTAGACCTGGCTCCCTCCTTGATGGGAGAGAGGAGATGCCTCTGCAAGGGGGCTTCTGCACTGGAAGGATGAACGGCTGATTATCCACCATACTGCCACAGAAGAGTACTGTGCCACGCGCTGGGAGGAATACAGAAGTTGTAAGAAACACATACTACCAGGATGTCTATTAGGCAAAGATAGATATACATTAAAAAAAAAATACGAAGAACAACAAGGAACTAATCCTAATTCTGATACTAAGGGAATGCTGCTGGG